GGAAGAGCCACTAACCCAACCCCCTACAGAAGGAGCCCCTGTTCTGTATTCATGCCCGCTTGCTACGACTTGCTTCCCCATTTGACTCCAATTTAGTCAATTTTACCTGAGAGATTATACTTGAAATTTTATTGACTGACCATATTCCTGTCCCACCTCATGCCCACCTTGCCATTTCCCACTCTTCCACCTTGGACCTGCCACACGTCATGGATTTGTTCTACAAAAATCCCTAGGAAAGGCAGGTTCCTTGGCAACCCTCGGGCGACCCCTTCTGTCTCTCTCTCAGACAGAAGCTTTCTGGTTTTTTTGTTTTGTTTTGTTTTTGAGACAGGGTCTTGCTATGCAGTTTAGGCTGGTCTTGAGCTCACTTTGTAGCCCAGGCTGGCCTCAAACTCGCAACAATCCTCCTGCCTCAGCCTCCCAAGTGCTGGGATTACAGGCATGGGCCACCACGCCTGGCTCAGACAGAAGCTTTATATTCTGCTCTTAACCTCCATTGTTCCTAAAATTCATTCTCCAGTTTTAGAGAATGTGAACTCATACCAGATATCTAGCAGGTTGGGAGTTTCTTTCCCCTGTATCACCAGCACCCTGGGAGGCTGAGGCAGGAGTGCAAGTTCACGCACATCCTGGGCAATTTAGTAATTAGTGAGATCCTGTCTCCGAATAAAAAAATGAAAAGGAGCTGGGGATGGAGCTCTGTGTAGTCCCTGAGTTCAACCTCCACTACCAAGGGGAAAAGAACCACCACAAACGGAAGTGTCTGCACAGTAGAGTGGAGATGAAGCGGTTGGAGTGAAGTGATGCTGCATAGAAAGGTGTGGTGGCAGGCAGCGCGACAAGCCTGGTGGGCTCCTGGAGGAGGGAGGTGCCAGTCTCCGGGTGCCGCACTCTGTGGACCTCCTGTGACTCACGTAGTGGGACAAGATGAAGCACAGATGGGGGGGGGGGCACAGCTGGGAGCCACTGGGTAAAATCCGGAATGGCAAGAGATGGAGAGATCTGCCAGCAGCCCAGCCCACACAGCAGCCCGCCCACCTCAGACAGCAGCAGCCCCGCAGTCCTAACACTCTCTTTTAGGACCGCAGAGACCGGGCGCCAGCAGAGCAGCGCTGAGTGATACACGTCCCCCTCCGTGGCCACCAGTAGGGTGACCTAAAGTCCCCTGGAAAAGAAAGCAAGTCCCAGCTGTTTTCTGCCAGGCAGCCGGGCTGGAGGGTGGGGATGCTGCGCAGGCGTCTACGTCTACGGAGCACGTGGACTGGGAGCGCCACAGTGATGGCTGAGGAGCCAGTGCCTTCAGCGAGAAGGTGGGCATGGAGGCGTCCTGATGCGCAACGTAAACCACATCTGCGGAAAGAAGGACTGTGAGGGCTCTGCTGCTTCCTGGACGGCAGTGGGGGAGGCACAGGCTGGCGCGCAAGTGGCTCCAGTGGCACAAGCAGCTCCAGTGGCCCGCTGGCAGCTGAAACCGCTCCCAGGAGCGCGAGGCACAGAGGGAACTGGCGGTGTTGCTGGACTGAATGAGGAGCGTGGGCGATGGCGGCCTCCGGACCACCACTCCCACGTGCCCCTCGCTGCTGCCCAGGGCAGGAGCACCGCCCCTCCTGAGACGACCTGCAGTGCTGCGGGTCATCCCCACCGGCCTGCCGCCTGCACAGGAGCCAGGCAGCGGGAGCCCAAGGTGAAGCCTCTGTAGGGTGACAGGCTTCTCCCACAGCAGGCAGGCTCTGGAAAGGGCTGTCGCCGTACAGCAATGGAGTCCCTGCCAGGACTCCCTACAGCACCCAGCCTGGCCCTGCCAAGCTGCCCTGGCTGCCTGGCCGCCGACCAGCTGCTGCTTGGCACGGTAGGAGCCCGAGGCAGTGGTATGTGCTACGAAGGTCTGGGAGGTGCCGAGAACCTAGACCGGCAGCTCCAGGACAGATGCAGGGAAGACCTGAGCGAGAGGGGGCCATCTCGGGGAGATGTAGTGCTCTCCAAACCCAGAATTCAGCAGCACCTGCCTGGGAACCAACTCCAGGGCCACTGATGGGGACTGGCGTTGCCTGGACCTTGACCTAGCTGGGTCTCTCCATGGTGAGTTGTACATAGAACCCGGCTACCCTGGCTCCACAGTGACACCAACCAGGCCTCCATCTCTTGCCACATTCATGAGCAGACTGGGAGGATGAGAGCCACTGCCCTCTCCCTGCGGCCCAGCAGGGTGGATAGCCTCAGAACCTCTGTATCCTGGCCATAAGCATGGGGGGTGCAGGCCAGCTCTGCATGTGGTGTCTGTCCCTGATGGAGGGCATCTAGTCATGCCCTCTTCCCCTGGATGCCCCCGCCAGACCTTGTCCACCAACACCTGCAACAGACACAGGTGGCTCTGCTTCTGCCCCAGTCTATGGCTGTGGACAAGCAGTGACTATGTCCAGGCTAGCTAGAAGCCACTCTTCCTGACCCTCAGGCCTGGGAACTCAGGGTCCCCTGCCACTGGGGATCAATGCCAGCTGCTGCTTGTCGGTAGTGTTCACCCCAGCATCCCCAACATTCTGTACCATCCCCTGCCCCTGGCCAGGGGAGCCCTCTCTTCAGGTCCCTCCTGCTCACTCACCTGTGGTTTCCAAGAACGTGGGAAGGTACCGGAGTTCCTGGCCTGAGATGCTCGTCTTTTGCGTTGGGGACAGCTGGGCCATGGCAAGGTCTGTGGTCAGCTGTGGCCTCCCCTGGGTCACAGGACAGAGCTGCAGGGACTGCCCATGGCGAGAGCTCTGTTCTCTGCGGAAGGAGGCTGAGCTGGTTTTGGTGTTTATGGTGTGACAAGTGGGTCCCCGAGATTCCTTTTGGTCCTGCTCACAGTTTGAAGTCACCTAGCTCTAGATGGCCTCTGTTCTCTTTCCCCGCTTAGGAGCTGTAAATGATCATGTGTAAACCAGAGGCGGGTGACAGGAAGACAGGCCCAGAGGGGTAGGTGATGCTGTGGCACATTCCAGGTGAGAACCTGGGCCTGGGAGAAGACAGGCCACCTTGCTGACACCATTCACAGCACAGCAGCAGCCCCTGGGGCCCATGCTACCAGCTAACCCCTTTCCTAACATTACTCAGCTTCAAGTAGCAAGCACTTGAAAGAGCCCAAAGACAGTCTCCATTCAGGCCCATGTGAAGGACGGGGACCTCGCGAGGGTGGGTCCTTCCCTGCTCACCTCACCTGAGACCCTCGACGCTGAGGGGTCATGTCGCATCTGCCATCGTACCCTTGGGACATACTGTTGGGAAAGGCCCTCGCCCTGTGTACTCAAGAGTGTTTTGGGGACCGTCCAGACACTGCTGTCAGTCAGGTGAGAGCTCCCAGTCTGCTGCTCATGATACTGTGTGTCGCCTGCCCAAGTGGGCAGCTGGGCCAGGGATGCCGTGCAGCCCCCATAGGGCCATGGGTCCACACGGGGTGGGAGTCTAGCCCTGGGAGCTCATGGGAGCTAGGTTGGGATCAGGATGGCTTGGCCACTACTGAAATGAGCAGTGAGGCTCCTGAGACCTGCAAGTGGGCCTGGAAGATAGCCCAGAGGCACATGACTGCCCCTGAGGGGCCAAGGAGCTTTCCTCTGAGATTCTCCCACCTGCCACAAGCCTTGGGATTACTGTTTAGGACGGGATGTGTCTGCAGTCACATCTCGAACACAGCTGCTGGTACAAGCTAGCAGCCACCCCGTGAGCCTCGGTGCAGTTGACAGTTGCAGAGCCATGGCCCAACCAATGCGGCCATCCAGTGTGGGGATCGCAGGGGCCTGCAACTCAGAGCAATGCCGGACAACTCCTCCTTTCTAGGAAAGCCCCAGGGAAGGCCAGGGTGAGTGGCTTTTCACACAGGCCCCTTCATTCCCGGTGCTGACATGTAAGCCTAGAACCCAAAGGGATGTTCACTCAAATTTCAGTTCCTGTTGTGACAGAGGTCACCCTTGTAGCCCCAGGCTGGTGGCCTTGCCTATCCTGCAGTCAGAATCCGCTAAGCATATTTTTTTAGGGTGGTACATTTTTATTTAAAAGTTATCAGATACACACCAGTGCTTAAAGAGAAAAAAGTGACCTTTTCTCCCCCCTTGAAATTTGACAGGAAACAAGATACATTACTACTGATTTTTGTTTTTTAAAGAAACTACTGTAAATGCATGGCTGCAGAGCGGCAGAGGTACATATTTTTCATACCGTGGGAGGAAAGCACAATATTTGTGCTGCTTTTTGGAAACAGCCTGGAATATCTGGTTCATACTGGGCCGGCAGCATTGCTTTTTTTTCTGTACAAGGTGACGCTGCTGAGACCTGCAACTTCCCCTCCAGCCCACTCCTGCCTTCTAGCGCACCACTGTGACTTGCGCAGAGAGAAACACAGCTTTTTGATAGTGTGGTTACAAAACATTGAACTGGCTGGGCGTGTGGTGCACACCTGTAATCCCAGCACTTGGGAGGATGAGGCAGGAGGACCACTGTGAGTTTGAGGCCAGCCTGAACAGCATAGTGAAACTGTCTCAAAAACGAAAAAAAAAAAAAAATTTGAACTCTTTTAGTAAAAGGAGTAACGAGATTATGACAGTATATACTTTATGCGAGGTAAATAAGCACCTTTTTTGCGAGCCTCAAAAATAAAAATAAAATACACCCGAGTGCACTGATGGCCTAAGCAACAGCAAAGTAACACCTGAGCGAAGGAATGGAGACCGACGACGCGTGGACTGGGGGATGACTTCGCCATAGTAAAGGGCGTCACATGTCCCCAGCAAGCGCCACTGCAGGCGGCATCATCCCAGCTCTCAGCAAGCACCAGTTTTGGTTTTCGCTGCTTTTTACTGTTTTCATGATGTGGACAGAAGAAATATTTTTACCACATCAGGGAAAGCCCATCAAACCAACCCAAAATACACAGTAAATGTTTGTTGTTTGCTTTGGACGTTGGTGCTAAACTTCTATAATTTAAAAACCAATTTTATGCCTTATTTATTTTGAGGACAAGTGGAAGATAACATTTCCTTTCTTACATGACTCGACATTTCTGAAAAATAACATCTTCACCCTTCAAAGGAAACCAAACCAAAGCCAAGCCTGCATGTTACACTTTGGTTCCCATGGCTCGGCAGGGAAGAACCCTACAGGAGCGGCAGAGCAGCCCGAGGCCTCCCATCCCACCGGGCACGGGCAGCAGGAGGCCCCTTTTCCCTCTGCCCAATGCTGCCCACCTGCTCAAGGCCAGTGGGGCTGCTTTCCTTATGTGCCCGCAACTGTCCCCTAGCCACTGCCACCTTCTCCCACACACGCACACCCAAAAACGTCCTGCGCCAGGGACCCCGCCTACTGACTGTGAGGTCGCTTGGATGGGGGTGCCTCCTCCTTCTCCTGCTTTAGCCATCGCACCAAGAGGCCTGTGCCGCCTCTCTTGGTGGGGAGTGGGCTCTTCTGTAGGAACTGGCTGGACCACCGGGGTGTATCAGACTTATCCTCTTGGGATGTCTCTTGGTCTTCCTTTTTGGGTGACTTGGTGGCCAGCCACTGCATCATCTTTTGGCTGCTGCCACTTGCCTTGGGTTCCTGAGAGAGACAGAAAAGCTCACAGCACCCAGTTCTAGCCTCCTGGAGGGCCAACTCAGCCAGAAGCCAGAAGCCAGAAGGGGAGGAAGGCATTGGAGGGCTTGGAGCACAGCAGAGAACAGAAATGATACGGACTTCTGGGAAATGAGGCTGGTGATGCGGGGATCAGCCTCGCGGGCCACATGGTCTGTGCTCCTCACAGTCCCACAAACAGCCCTGAACAAAAGGTTCCAAATTAGCATGATGTGCCTCCACAACACGACCTTGCAGAGTAAGGACCGCGTGGAAGTGGGGCAGCACCCAACGCAAAATGAAAATACATACATGTTTAATTTTTAGAGGAAAAAAAATATCAGGGTGGCTGGAGTTCGCAGAGAACTGAGACAAAAGAAAAATGATGGCAGTGACCGTGGGTAAGGGGAGAACAGGAGAAACGGGACAGGTGGCTGCCCTTGTGGTCTCCGTCCTGACACTGCGCGCGTGTGAACTCTCTAGGTCCTCCACACACTCCCTGTTCCATCACCCTCAGCACTGCTGCAGTCTGCTTTGTTATTTGCTTTATGAAACAGGGTCAGGCCCAGGCTGGCCTTGAACTCATGGTGATCCTCCTGCCTCAGCCTCCTCAGTGTTGACATGACAGGCGTGCACCACCATGCCTGGCTCGATGGGGCCCAAGGTAATTAAACCTGGGAACTCTCTCCCCACTGCAGGGCTCTAGTCCCCCTGCCACCTTCCCTTCCCCACAGCCTGGATCCTGTGAATCCTGAGACAGCATAGGTGCTTCTGAGGAGGTAGGCCGGCGCCTCTCCCTGTGGCCAAATAGGTACAGGAGAAACAGCAACGGCCAGTGGGCCAAGGACGGACATCAGCTCGGCTGAGGCTCCTGTGTCTTCCTCAGTCACCCTCAGGAGAACTGGATTATCAGACTCACCAAGGATGCCTCCTATTTTCTTTTTCCTTTTTTCATTTTCTTGGCTGGGAACTGAATTCAGCCCTTTCTTAAATTTTAAGCTAGGGCTCTAAGTCACTAAATTGTCCAAGTAGGGCTTACACTCGTGATCCTCCTGCCTCAGCCTCTCAGGTAGCTGGGATGACAGGTGTGCAGCCCTGCACCCAGTTCTTTATGTATGTGTGAACACAGGATAGAGCTCAGGGTCTTGCTATGTAGTCCAGGCTTGGCTGGAACTCACAGTGATCCTCGTGCCTCAGCTTCCAGAGTGTGGAGATTATGGATGGGTGAGCTCTTCTGAAGATGCCCAGGGAAAGAGAGCATTTTCAGGCGTTAAAGCTATGACCAGGAAAGGCTACAGGCTGAGCGACAGGGCCACACAACAGGCTCCTACCTTTTTGACCACCAAGTGGAGAGGAGTCAGACACTCAGGGCTGTTGTTTCTCGAGTTGTTGACGACGGGGGAGACAGGGTGGAAAGTGATGTTCTCTGTGGGGCGGATCAGCTTCAGGGCCTCCTGAGTGGGGACGTCCCCGAAGTCCAGCCACCTGGACACAGCCTCATCTCCATCCAGGATGGCAGGCATCCTGTGAGTCGGGATGTTGGCACAGAGACAGTGAGGGAGGGAGAGACACGGAGAGCTAAGTCAGCTGACTGACCCGGCAGCTGCCACAAAGGCCACACCCACGCTGTGTCTCCTTCACAGAGAGCGCGAGCCAGCCACACCTGGCACTGGTGTGCCAATGCCTACGCAGCAAACTGGTGGGCTTTCTACAGTCCCCAACCTAGAAGGAACGGACAACAGATCCCTGTAAACTATCAACAACTGCCTCTGGCCACGAGACCTGTGAAAGCTTATGCTAACAAAGGGCTAGCTGGACACAGCAGTATGCACCTGTAGTCCCAGCTACTTGGGAGGGGCTAGGGATAGAGCTCAGTGGCACAGTGCCTGCCTGGTAAGCACAAGGTCCTGAGTTCGATTCCCAGTACCATAAAAAAACCACCAGCTACTTGGGAGGCTGAGGCAGGAGGACTGCCTGAGTCACGAGTTCAAGGCCAGCCTGGGCACAGGGCAAGACCCAGGATCCAAGGAAGGAAAACCCTTAAAATCTTTTTAACCTGGATGTATTTAATGATAAATGGCATCTTTGCACTATATTATAGATTACCTGGCAGTAACTAGCAGCGCTTTTTTGTTTTGAGACAGGGTCTTGCTATGTAAGGCTGCTGGTCTTGAACTCACTAACCCAGGCTGGCCTCCCAAGTGCTAGGATTATAGGCGTGTGCCACTACGCCCACCCTGCTTTGCTTAACAACATATAAAGTTATATTATAGCATTCTACCAGGCTGAGGCAGGAGGATCACAAATTCAAGCCCAACCTAGGAAACTTAGTGAGGCCCTGTCTCAAAATTAAAAACAAAAAAGGGTTTTGTGTGTGGAGATGTAGCTCAGTGTGAAGCTGCTGAGTTCGATACCACAAAAACTAAAACAACTATATCACACAAAAGTGTATTTTCTAAAAAAAAAAAGAAAGTGTATTTTCAAAGATACAGCTCAGGACAAGACAGGTAATCTAAGTAGTGCGGTATTAACACTCCTTGTAGCAGAACAGCAGAGCGGAGGTGTGCGCTCAGATCTGGCAGTAACTGTAACAGTGTTACACAAGTACAGTCTGCATGTGCTTGTTAAACTGCAAATCTGTTCCAGTGTGACTGATGTGTAAGGGAGCAAGTGGAGCAAAATGCAAATTCTGCATTTGCCTCTGCTCCATTTCTCATGCGCGAACCGAGCTACGCACAGGACCCTGCCCCAACTGAGAAGCTGGGAGGGGTGCGCAAGATGCACACGCCCTCAGGTGCCAGGTTACCGGCACTGGCGAGAGGTCCCCCAGGCTGAGGAACATCCCCTCAGTGCCTGGGAACTTTCCTGTGTGTATATTCCAAGCACTCATTTCGCCTCTCCAAAGCAGCTCGGCTTCCTGGTTCAGAATATGCCAGGCAGTACATGGAGAGCAAATGAAAACATTTTAAACCCTGAGAAGTTTGAAATAATAAAGCATCTTGAAAGAAAAAACAAGAACATGTGATAATCTCCAGAGCAACAGATATAAAGAAATCCACAGCAACTACAACAGTACAAAAATAAAAGAAATATCCACGGCTGGAGCAGCTTCAAGAAGCGCTGTGAAACACTGACAAGGCCTGAAGGAGCAGAAGCTACTGATTCTTTAAAAAAGAAAAAAGCTAAAACATTTTTCTTACAAACAGAAAGCACTATTTATATATAAAGACCTTAAACACTCCGAAGTGGCTTCTTTTTTTTTTTTTTTTTTTTTTTTTT